AATTTTGGTAAAAAATTATCAAGAACTCCACTTGTAAAAGACTGGCATGATGCTGAAGGTTAGCCAACATAGTTTCATTGTGGGCAGGTAACATCTGACCAACCTCGTCTCCTTTTAAAATCAAGTAATGAACCACTTAGATGTGGAAGATGCAGTTGATGTCATGTACTTGGATTTTAAAAAGGCCTTTTATATGGTTTCCCATGATGATTATAAAAAATATTGGGAGATTGTAGGCTGGCAGAGTCCAAGGTCAGGTGGGTTGGGAACTGGCTAAGGGGTCAAACCCAGAGACTGTTAGTGGACAGGTCTATATCGTCTTGGCAGGAGGTGGCCAGTGATGTCCTGCAGGGTTCAGTTCTTGGCCCCATTCTGTTCAATATCTTTGTCAACAGTTTAGATGAGGATGTGGAAAACATGCTGGCCAAGTTTGCGGATGATATTAAGTTGTGGGGAAAGTGGTCATGCTAGGGGATAGGATGCGGATCCAAGGAGACCTGGACAAGCTGGAAAGTTAGGCAGGGTGGAACTTGATGTAGTTCAATAAGGATAAATGCAGAGTGCTTCATCAGGGAAGAAGTAAGCTTGAAAGGAACCTCAGGGTTATGGTTGATCACAGGATGTACATGAGCTACCAATGTGATGCTGTAGTCAACAAAGCTAATAGCATACTGGGATGCATTAACCAACGCATCATGAGCAGGGTTAAGAAAGCGATACTTCCTCTCCACTCGGTGCTGGTGAGACCCCAGCTGGAGTACTGTGTCCAATTCTGGGCACTACACTTCAAGAAAGATGAGGAGAATCTTGGAAGGGACCAGAGAAGGGGCACAAGAATGATTAAGGGCCTGGAGGACAAACCTTATGAGGAAAGACTAAGGGATCTAAGACTGTTCAGCCTGGGGAAAAGAAGACTGAGGGAGGACTTAGTGGCTATCTGTAAGTATGTGAAGGGTGAGTATTGGGAGCTGGGAGAAAAACTGTTCGTTAGTGTGTTCCAAGGGAGGACAAGGAGCAATGGCCATAAACTGGTAGAAGATAGTTTCAGGTTGGAGATAAGGAAGAAATTCTTTCTGGTAAGGGTGACCAAAATCTAGAATAGACTTCCCAGGGAGGTGGTGAAGTCCCCGCCCTTAAAAGTCTTCAAGAGGAGACTGGATAGACATAGTTTCATAGTTTGTAGGGTCAGAAGGGACCTAAGCAGATCATCAAGTCCAACCCCCTGCCATGGCAGGAAAGTACTGGGGTCAAACAACCCCAGCAAGGTGTTCATCTAGCCTCCTCTTAAAGACCCCCAGGGTAGGAGCCAGCACCACTTCTCTTGGAAGTT